GGGCACGTGGTTTTGATCAGTAGCCACATGGCTTTTGTCAGGGAATTCCCACAAAATTACAATGGCAACTGGCAACATTGAACCACTACCGCCCGCAACATATTCCCTAAACCCGAAACCTTATTACCTGGATATGACCCTTGTTTTTTCCTATTTGGCTTCAAGTCCGAATCATTATGTTTTGGGTTGTCGGTTTGATGCTTGTTTTCAACTCCCAGAAGTTTGAGGGTTCGCAGTGGTCTTTTCAATGCTCAGCAGGTCGATTTCCACACTACACTTCAGCGCTAAGCGGATCGCGCATGGACGAATCGCATGATTGTCCCCAGGTGCTTTCAAACTTGACATCAGCTGGCCAGCTGGCGTGTTGTCCGGAAGCCTGGCAGCTTTTGCTCAATCAAATGTGGTAGTTTCCCAACATAAGTGGACCCCACGCCAAAATACTACAATCCTTATATCGGGACCCCCAAAAAGGTACCCATGATTTTGGGAAACCTCCTTGTCTCTGGATCCTATCAGGGATCCAGTAGCCTCTCTTTACTTCCAGGGTGACCGCCAAAAGCCATTTGCAGCTTCAAAGGTCTTACGCGCCTAGAGCGCTTCCTTTCATGACAAAGGATGTAGCCAAGCTGCCCCAAAGTCATAGGTAGCAACCATGAGTTGCGGCAACCCTTTCACCATGGTTGCACACAGATGTAGGCCAGAACAGAGGGAACTCGAAGCCCGAGGCAGCCTTTGAGCAACTGACGCATGAGCTGAATTCACAGCGCTTCAGCTTGATATGAGCTATAGTCTAAACTCCTTAAAGGGGGTTATATAGGGGATTATATAAGGGACTACTAAGTGGTTATTAAGGGGGATACCAAAAGTTTAGACTATAGCTCATATGCTCTGAAGATTGGGAGCTCTCTGATGAAGATTGCCGGGTTTTCAAACACCCACATTAGTTGAAGCCAGAGCCATGGGGAACATACCGATATGTTGTGCCGAAGAAAAATCACCAGATGCGGAGCATGAGACCATGGTGGCAGAGGTGGCAATCCGTGTCTTGACTTGCAGTGGGCATGGAAACTACTATAGTAAGGGTTATTTATTTTGGTAAAACGAAATGGAAACTACTATTTACGGTTTAGGGTTCGTGTTTTCAGCTGGGAAGCACAGATGATCTCAGGCGACAGATGGTTTCACTGAGCGCTTGGGGTTAGATTGGGTCGTCGATCAGCAGCAGTACATGTTGAATGTAAATCTTTGGTAGTCTTCAGCAGGATGCGAAAAGCTGACAAATCTCACAGTCCGTGTCATGAATCTTAATTTACAGAAGATGATCGGTTGAAGTCTCAGGCAGTGTCAAAGACAAGCTTGGAACCTACATATGCTGGGCATTGATTGAGATGCAGACGGCGCACTGTTTTCCTAGGTGAGGATCCCGGATTCAGCGCTGCTCCGCTTGTGATCACGTTCCTGCTTCCAGATGGCAGAAGCACGCCCTTTGGGTTCGAACAAGCATGCCATTCAATAGGCTCAGTCTGCATCCACAGTGGAGTAGAAGGGGGTCCAGAACAGCTTGTCGAGGAGAGATGTATGGTTCTACGAAAGCCCGCTTGGATTGGACTTCAGCATGCGTTTGCCGAGACTTGCCACGCATTTGATGTCTGAAGTTAGGGATGATATGATCCAAAACTACTGCTGCCATCCGTTCGGTGTTCTTGCCATATGCTATCTATTTGTTGTCAGAACACGAGATGTTGCAGGGCTTAGGGTTCAGGATAAACCCTAAACCCCAAACCCCATATCCTGAACCACTATGGTTCAGGACAACCTAACCGCTAACCGCACTTCTCCACCTGCTCAAACTCGCATCCTGGTGGCAGTCTTCCAAACAATGAGGCTGTACCAGGGCTGGCCTTTTATTTGTATTAGTACAATGATGAGTGATATCAGCATTATTAGTATGAGTATTCGTATTTCTATTATTAGTCACTCAGGATGAAGGTGAAGGCGGTGAAGCCTGGCTTCATTGGTGAGCACAGCAAGGCAGTTCTGTTGTCAAAAGCATGGACGACCGGATGACATGAACACTGCACAGAAGAGGGTCATGGGGACTGCAGGGATATGACCTCATTAGCGAGTCAAATGGAGAATATGTACAATCAAATGGACAGTGAGGTTCTGTCGGAGTAATCCCTGCATGTCCTTCCTGGTCCCCTCCCATTCTTCCATGTTGCTGCACAATAGTCACCTAACTAAGTGGATGTTATTCCCTCATAACGCTTATGTATTTGTTATGGTATCATGTACCCCGATACCGTTATATCGCTGCTATAGTTGCTGGGGTAAGATAGCCTCCGATACGACACATGTATGAGAGCATTTCCATGATAGGGGTTCCCGTTAGATACCGAAAAGTACGATCACCCCTATCATAAACATTTGAACCTCTGTAACCCTAAACCCCCACACCCCTAACCCCTGCTAGGTTCAAGTTGGCTGGACCATCCTGAGAATTGATGGCAGACCAGTGCCTGGCAGCTTCGATGCGACGCTGATGATGCTGCAGATGTGCCTTGCCTAGAAGAACAGCAGTACCTGGTGCTTAGCGGGGGAGAAAAAATGTAATCCTTGGGCAATGTACATGTTCTCTCATTCCCTACGAACCCCTGATAGAACAGCAATACTTGTAACATTACATCTACAAGTAGAAGGAGTAGTAGTACTAGCAGCAGCAGCAGCAGCAGCAGCAGCAGGAGCAGCAGGTGCAGCGAATAATGGTATTTGGGCATATCATGAGTCATTTCTGCGTTCCGGTGGTGGGATTTTGTACTTGTGGGTCCAGTGTGGTCCAGTCCTGGCTGTGAAGTCGACATTCGAACTATTCCGAAACGGGAAACCACAATTTTTTGGAAAGCTTCATGTGGATGGCCCCTAGCCCTAGCTGAGGCGGCTGCAAGGGATGAGGCGCCACTAGAGGAGGTCATTCACAAAGCTTCCGGAAAAGTGCATCTCCCTTCGTTGATTTAATGTATTAGACTGTATCGGGCATGAAATGCCAGGGTTGTTTGGCAGGACTGCAGGCTGGCTCACCAAGCATAACTTTCAACATTTCAACAAGGTATCTCCAGATTGCAGATGGAACGTTTGAAGATAGGACGGGTCTTGGAGTGCCTTTTGGGAATGATGGGTTTCAAGCACCGATGCAGACTTTGATTTTCGGGAGCTTTGTGGCTTCGACGTCGGACTCAAGGGATCGCTGAATGCGCGATGGTTTGGACGTTTGGCGTAACGAACAGTAACACCGCGCAGGAGATAGGTCCCATAGAAGTTGAAACATCAGTATTCCGCCTCTGCATTGCTAGCCATAGGCCTACATGCCGTGACCACTATGCTGGTGCGCCCCGGGCAGTGTTCCAAATATTTTCATATTGCTGCATCTGATGCATGAGTCCACTTGGCCGCCAAAAGCGCGACCTCCAGAATCTGCAGGGCCAAAGCTGACACCGCCAACCCTTTCTCTACGCTCCTAACCAGAACATGTGGATGCTGTTGTGAAGTGGGGTGTGTGGTTTGGCCGACTGTTCTTTAAATTCTGGGGATGTCTCAGCCAGATGGTGCGCTTTGGTATATGGGGGTTTCCCAAAATTGGGGGTACCCTTTTGGGGGTCCCTATAATAAGGATTATAGTATTTAGGGATCTATATTGGGGTTCCCTTGATTTTGGGAAACTACCATATGGCGAGTGATGCCAATGTCACTGCTGCATGGGGCATCCTCATCGTATCGAATGATATCGCACGTGTACGTACATACAACAGGATGTTATCGGAACATAGCAGTACACCCAAGCGCTGAAGCACCCTGGACAACGTGGTACCTGGCTTTGGTGCCCGCTGCAAAGCCACGGTGAAACACCAGCCCCCCGCCGTTTCAAGACACCCACGGGCCAAAGATTACATTAGGAACAGTGCTGTGAGCCTGTTGCACAAAAAAGCGCTCGGCACTGCTGCGTGGCAATCATTTGAACCGAAAACTTCATGGTGTGCCTAAAGGGCAAAAATTCAAGTTGGGTACGTGCTCCTTGGAGCCCCTGAGGCCAGATGCGAAAGCGCCAGCAGCGAAAGCCTTACAGGCTGAGAAATTGCAACGGGGAGCGAGGTCCAAGCTTCGCAAGCCTTGTCCTCAGACAGCACAGAGGAGATCCATGTAGGTGGTTGTCAAAATCATGGTCCCTTTTTGGGTCCCTAGTATAATACGGCACCTAATATTTAGGGTACCCAAAAACGGACCATAATTTTGACAACCACCCATGTAGAAGATGTAGAGGCTGGTAGAGGACAAGCTGTGCTAGGCTACATCCCAGTGCAAGATATTGCCATGTTGACCGGCGTGTCCAACTCTCGGATTCTTAGAGATGCCTCGCGAGATGGCACGCATCGAGATATGTTAGATTAGGTTGCTGTTAAGGGACTTGAAATTGAGTTGCAATAACAATGAAACTCTATGATCTTACCATATACCCATACAATGGTAACTTCCTTTTATTAAGTTCCTTCACAGCAGCTGAGATTGTTGTGAATCAGGTGATGGGCTGGGGTTCTTCCAGCACTCACAAATCGAAGATCGAAGCCGGTGTGTACTCACAGACCAGAGGCATCTTGTTTGGCCCCGCAGTTGACGTGTGCAACTCGCTGGGTTTAGGGGGTTAGTAGGGGATATAGTATAGGGGTGATATAGGCCTATGTCATGTTATGTTAGGATGACATAGCGACAATAGAGGGAATAAGGGAACGTTATATAGGTATAGGAACAGTATTCCCTGATTCCCTACTAAAAACCGGGAAGGCAAAGGCCTAGAGCCGGACTGTACCTCCCCAGGCTTCACAAAGTCAGAAATCCAGCCGGCAGGTCATTATCCAGAAGCACAGCTGGCCAGCGCCATGAAGACGCGAGAAGCTTAGCCAATTCACCCGCTCCTCTATACCTTGCACTTGCAAAGGACATTGGCTCCAGGCAGCTTCGTGCCATTTCGCTGGCGAAGTGTTTTTCTTGTGACTCCATCTCCATATCTCCGCATTACTTTTTGCTGAGGTCGCCCTTGCCCAAAGATGGCAGGGTTCAGCTGCAAAGCCGGGATCCCGGAAGAGTCGTCATGGAATGCTGTCGCTTGGCAACCACGTTCAGGTCGTTGCCTCGCAGCTGTGGACGACAATGACAAGGCACTGGCAGATCTGCAGTGCTGAAGCAGTTGTTGATTGCCCCAGCGAAGAGGCCAAAGCTGTTTATGAAGCGTGTGGAAGCCATCCTGCTCACAGCACAGCTCACTACGAGGCAAGTATGAACAGACAAGACAAGCTGACAATCCGACCAATACCTCGATGTAAGCGACCAAAGATGCACAAGCACTCAGCTAGTATTACTATAGCCAGGGGCCCGAGCATAGAAGAGTCACGCCAACCGTTCAGGCAGGCCAAGCTTGGCAGATGACTGCAAGTTGTCCCTAATCTCACAGCCCCCCTTAAGTAGATAGGATATGGGGTATTTGGGGATCTTATGATAATATACCCAAAGCCATATTCTATTTACTTAAGGGGGAGAAGGAAAAGGTGTGCCGAACAGGTAAACGCAATGTAGACCCACGATCACTGGAAAATCACGTGGAAAAAACATGGAAAATGAAATGGACACTCGGTTTACAGTGTACAGGGGTATATAAGATGCTTCCCCTACAACACTGCCTCAGACAGCAGTGCGCAAGCGCAGTCAGGACTCATGTCAGCGCGGGAGGTCGAATTGGAGGTCGGAAGCATTGAAATGGCACATGGTGGAGCTTGTTGGCAGAAGGGTGGTTGTCAAAATTATGGTCCCTTTTTGGGTACCCTAAATATTAGGTGCCGTATTATACTAGGGACCCAAAAAGGGACCATCATTTTGACAACCACCCATATAACCCATTATAGTAGTTTCCATGTTCTTGTCCATTATCCCCCATATAACCCCAATATAACCCCAATATAACCCCAATATAACCCCAATATAACCCTAATATAACCCTAATATAACTCTTTGGCAGAAGAATGATTTTTGTCCCTCAGCACAAGCCCAGGTCGCCCCCGACACCTTCGGCTTCAGTCAGGGCAGCGACGCGCTCAGTCAATCTAAATCCTAAGCCCCTAAACCCT